AAATTTAGGTTCAAAATGTGAATATGATCTCTGTGTAACTGTTTTCAATATCAGCGGGGTCACAAAATTATGTTTTTGCATAGTATAATCGTGGCGTGGAAGTTGGGAATGTTGTTTATTAATGTGATATATTTTATTGTGCGACATTTATGCATGCCGAATCAAAATAAACCAGTGGGCTTGTTGCAAATGCTTAACCGATTTTATTGAGGCTTCTTTAATAATCAAGAATGTTAGAAAGGCTTTTGGCTGTAGATTTTGAAAAAAAAAAAAAAAATTAAACTAAATGAACATTACAAAATATTATCAACAGTTCCAGCAGTTCCAGAGACTTTTATTGTGTTTGTTTCATTGGCGGCTTGTGTTGCCAAATTTCTACAAAAACACGGCAACTCTTAATAATCCTTCCTCCATGGTCCATACTCTTATCAACTGAGATACCAAAGCACATGGCTTTGATATCCGAATTCGTAGATCTGAAGTCAATCAGATTCGATTTTCGTCGGTGCATACAAATTCTCATTCCATCCCATTCAATGAAAAATTGAAGAAGCTGAAAGTATATTTTTCTTTGAATTGTTATCACTTTGGGGATATGATATTTTTCATAATTTCGTACGGGGAATTGAGGATTAATCATTTTCATATTTCTAAAATTGCATTTCAGTTTTTCGGATCTCAACCGACTTTTCTCACTTCACTTTCTTTCATTTCATTTCATTTTAACGTTAACGGCGGACGGTACCCGAAAAACTTAACACTGGTGAACGAATGAAGAATCTTAGGAATTTATTCTAGTACAATTATTAGATTGTCGTTCTTTCTACACGATGTCATAGGGGTGGCTTTAAGAAGAATTAGAGGAGCTGAGATGGGATGAGAATTTTTATGTACCGATTGACTGCAAATCTACGAATTCCAATATCGAAGCCATGTGCTTTGGTAAGAGTATGGACGACTAAAGTCCGAGGTCTCAGCTTCGACTCCTGGCCGATGCACTCATTTTCTCTTTCTTTAATTCACAGCTTTTTCAATTTTTCTTTGATTAGTTTTCACTTTGGGGATATGAGGATGTATTTTTTATAATTTTGCACGGGAATTAGAATTATTCATGTTCATTTTTCCAAAATTTCAGTTTTTAGGTTCTCAACCGACTTTTCTCACTTCACTTTCTTTCATTTTAAGAAAATAATTGATTGAATTTTATTTTTAAATGATTTTTATTTAGCAGAGTTCGGAATTTTTTTAAAATTTCTTTTAGTGAGAGGTAAACGATGGAATTGGAAAAATGTTTTACGTTCTTGTATTCAAAATCTGTGCTATTTCCTGTGAATTTTTCTAAATATGAATGGTAGTTCTGCTACTGATTTATTTTAGTGCCGAAGTACCGAATGTTATACATTTTGAGATTATTAATAATTAACTTTGCTATTTGCCGGCATAAAAATTGTAAATTTAAAACTTCCATAGGTATTAATAATTATTGTTTCTATCGATCACGGTATAATATTTTGAGGTTGACGTTCCATTTCGATATTAGGCCACTGGGGCAATGGGAACGATATTCATTGGTAGGATTCTGACAAAAGGACGATGAAAAGACGGCTATTAAAATTGTGTCGTTATTAAAAATTGATCGAAATGTATCTGTAGAACAAGCCGCAGGAAATCAATATATATTTCATTAATAACTGATTATGTGAAATTTCCACTTAATATCAAATTTGTTAGATTTAATTGGAAATCAAATTCATATAGAATATAATATTTTATAAGCCGTACTTTAAAATGAAATTTTGTATGAAATCTAGCCGTCATATTTATGGGATCCAGTGAAGAATATGGGAATACGGATTTTTTTAAAGGTGGGAACTTGAAAATTGGAATTAGAGCTAGCCATCATAAATAAATAATGACATATTTCAGGATTTTTGGATTTTAGATTTTGAGGGAGGGGGGGGGGGGACGGGTAATATTTTTTAGTGAGTTAGCGCATTGTGGTCAAAAATTAAAATCTAGGATTCCAACAATAGTGAGACATTAAATTCAATTTATAATATGAATAAAGATTTTAATGTAACTATGATTATTAAACAAAAACTAAAGAACATAGCTCATACATATATTATGCTTTGGTCAGATTCGATATCAGATGGAATTTCTGAAGATTCTAATAGTAATATAACATCTTTGTTGTTTGAACCACTTTGCCTAGGTGATAAAATGCGCATACTGGAAATAAGAGACATCTTTTCTCTAATATATTCAAGGGTAAAATAACGAGACATTAGCTTGTATTCTAACAATAAACATATTTGACAGTAAGCGTTAATAAATATTATACCTATAATCAAGTATGCGAGTTGCTGTCAACATAGATGAATATCCAAGCAGCAAGCATGGATAGTCGATTTGAAATAGTGAAAATTAGGCATTCCAACGACCTGTCAAACAATAGGTGCCAGTGGGAAATTCTTGTATATTTAAGGGGGTAGCGACATAGTCTTGCAACTTGGACGCTATTTTTATTCGAAGTAGTACTCGCCAAGCCTGCCAATTTATGAAGAAATGTATAGGTGGGTTTTTTAAATATTATTTTTATTGTGTTTGACATAAAATATTTAAATGTAATCCATTTATTCATGATTTTACGTAAAGTAGATAGAATACACCATATGTCGCCACCCTTAGATATACCAAACCTGCCCACTGGTAATTCATTTGTTTGGAATGCCTAATTGTCGATTTATTTTATTCTGACTGATTTTAACGATTTGTTAAAATGTCAAAGTTGATAGGTGAGGGAAATAATCAAGAGTAATATACCAAGACCTTGATAATAGTCAGCTATTTTTGTTGAATCTAAAATTCGAAAATATTTTAATATCAATTTGATGAGACGTAATTTTAGGCATTAATAATCTGATTAGAGCTTTAGCACGAGAGCTTTAATCAATTGATTATTAATGTCAAAATTATGTAGAATCAAATTGTAAAATGTTTGAGAAATTTAGCAACAACAAAAATAGCTGACTATTATCAAGGTCGTGTTATATTTGGGACGACTTTTACACTAGACCAAATATCGACTATTTCTCTAGAGAAATAGTCGCTGATATTTGGTCTAGGGAGATAGTTCCTATAAAATTTAAATTCGGCAACTCGGGTTACAGTGTGATTTAATATAGACTAATGGAATCTCAGCAGATATTTCTGTAACAACAATTTTTGAAAGAGGAAAACATTTTTTCTTTGCTTCTATTAATTTGTAATAAGGATACATATATTTAAAAAATTTTTGCTTAGTAGATTCCCTCAAACTAACATGTGCAATGATGTGTTTTAAAAATATATTTTGTGTAGGACTGTAGGACAAGTCACGAAACGGGAAAGAAAATCTGAAAAGAGCCTGTTTAGTGCCAAATCAATGAAAAAGACTGTCTAAGATGATATTAAACACAAATTAAGCTTAAGGAAGGCAGTGGAGAAAAACAACGTGAAATACGAATGGCATCAATATCCGTTAGTACCTTTTAATGTTAGAACCTCATATATATTTTTATTTTGTTGTTTTTTCCACATAGTTTTATAATATTTTTTTAAAAAGTTTTTTTTTGCTTTTTTGTTTTTAGGTCTTGTCTCAAAGCGGCCCATTTTATGGGCTACCTTGAGACAAAATCATATTTTTTAAATTCCTTATTATAAAAAAGAATTATTTTGTTTTAATAATTTAATCAAAAAAATATGTACAATCAGACGAAAGATTATAAAGCATGCGTAAGTGTAGCAAAAAAATGAAAATTACCACTTCCATCCCCCAAAAAAGTAAAAATTGTCTCAATGTGGCCCACCTTCCCCTATATTGTGAACGGTTCCTTCAGTTTCTATGTGATTTGAAGAACTATGAGGATACCGATCATTTAATAACTAGCCCCTTAATACCAAATCAAAGGATTGGAAATGGTCGATTAAATCGATTGGTAACATACACATACACTGTGGAACAGCCAAATGGAATAAATTCGGTAATAAATAAATGGGGGCGTGTTTGGAAAAACGCTCTGACACGTCGCTTGGTATTTATAGTTTTTAACAAAAACTTTTTTTTTAGGGTGTGTCATGTAACAGTGGCCAATACTAACTTTTTAATTTTAAATGCAACACCCTTTATATTTTCCAATTTTTGGATTCTTCATAAATTTCTAGACATATGTCCTATACCTAACTATTTCGGAAATATTAAATGTTTTAAGATTTATTGCAAAAATTAACAAATAAAATAAAATAATTTGATTACAGAAATTCGTTATAACACATTCAAAAACTAATAATAAGTAATACTGTTTATTTTAATATAATATCAAAAAGAAAAAAAACATCTCAATGTAGAAGAAATAAAAATGTCTTCTAACGTTATTCAACATCTCAGTAGTGACCGATCTAATCGCAAGCGTTATTCGTCTTCTTAACTAAGCTAGGTTTTATTATTTCCGAAACAGGTATAGGACATAGTACATAAAATAAGTTCTAGAATTTTCCTAAGAATCCAAAAATTGAAATATATACAGGGTGTTGAATTTAAAATAAGAAAGTTGGCATTGGCCACTGTTACATGAAACACCCTGAATAAATAGTTTTTGATAAAAAAAAGTGTTCGAGCGTTCCATACCGTATAACACTTGTAATTTCATGTTCGGAGGCGCATACAGCCCTGGAACATGGAAGTAGTTGTTAAGTTTTGTATATATGATAGTATCACCCTATTTTTTTACTTAAATTTTTAATTATTCGAAATAATAATTCTTTATATTATCCCCACATAATATAGAACTACGTGATGTACGAAACTAGATCAGAAATTTTAATATTCAGCTTCTCATTAATCATTCGTTTTTTAATCATGTTTTTATGTATGCACCTTCTTATCTTCTAATAATAATAATATTAATAATAATAATAATAATAATAATAATAAATAATGATTGTCTATTCTGTTTTAGGCTGAGAACTTAGAATCGTTATCTACTGTAAATTTTCGAGAAATGCACATCGATCCGTTGAATTTAGTGAATGCACTACAAGGCATTTGGGAATTGACATTTACTGATACGGATAACAACAATTATTTATTTAGATATTTTATCGCAAAAGTTTTCAAAATAACTAGCAGTTTTGCTGCGGAATTTAACAACAAACAATTATATACGGTGAGTCATTCTATGTTTCAAATAGCTCGTGTGCCTTTTTTATATAATAATTATTGTGCTTGGTACCTTTCAAAATAATTATGTCAGGAACTTTCAAATTAGTTAGTGGAAAGTTATACAAGGGAACTGAACAGAATGGTATTGTATTCATTTGTGAAGGTAAAATCTTTGAATAAGAGAAGATTGCTGAAGAAAAAAAATATATGTCCAGGTCTTTAATAATATTTTTAAATAAAAAAGTCTTCCCTCGATATAGAAATTGTTGAAACAGGAAACTCCTAAGCATTTACATTTTAACAATTTCAAATTAAAACCACCAAACCAAAAACTCAAAAGCTCGTTTCACCTTCCTCTCTCCATCGGTTTTTATACACTTATCTGTTATCTTTGACTTTAAAATTCTCAGATATCAACTTTAGTCGAAATCTGCCGACTTTTAAAAATAAATGATTATAAATTATTTTTCTATACTGCTCACCCTGTTTATAACTGACTGAAAGTATAACGGATTTTGAGCCAGAGAAGAACCTTTTCTGCATACAAAATTTGAAGTTTTTCTCTAAAGCCGTTTTTGAGCTATCGCACCAACAGACAGGCCGACAGATTGGGGAAACACGTTTTTCGTAATATAGGGACCCTGAAACGTGAAGATCTGGCTTATGCCTAAATATAATATGTAGGGCTTAATAAATAAATATTTTAAAATATTTGAGCTCAGCCAATCAAAATATGAAAATTGTGTCATGATAAAGCAAACATTTTTATATATCTCTTTAATATGTTAAAGAGTCATACACAAACAGTTATTTTTAGATATATTTAGTTTTGAATTAATTTTAATATTTTCAGTTAAGTTTCTATAAAAAAACATAGTTCACAAAGACAGGGTTCGTATGACCGATAAAATCTAAGAAAATATGAATATATGAAAATTATAATTTGTGTTCATGCAATACCCTTAGGAATTAATTTATATTTTATTAGTTTTTATTTTCTAAAAAATGCTTTAAAATTTATAATGAGTACACTTTTGCTATTACCACAAAAATTAAAAATTGTAAAGTCCAATAAATTATCTCTTCCCTCCGCCATAAAAATTCCATGCCATTTTTGACCTATATGACTGTATGTTTTTTTTATTATTAAAATTATCGTGTCTCAGCATCTAGTGGCTACTGACACGGGATCTGTGATACATTTGCTTAAAGATACATTTGGTTACATATAAAATCAAATTAAACAGTCGACAGTCTTTAAGGAACTGAATCACAGCACTAAACTGGTTAGGTAGAATATTTTTAAGAGTTCCACTGAGCTTGTGTTTGCGACGAATTGATCTGTAGTGTTTGTAATCTAAAAGTATATGCTCAATTGTAAGTCTTACAGCATCACAGAATTCACAGATAGGGAGATTCTGTAAGGACATCGGGTAACCATGGGTGAGCCGGGAATGAATTCTGAGTCTTCTTATAACGCTTTTGGCTTTTCTTGTCATTGGAGTCATCTTCTGAGCGGTAACAATGAGTTCTATTAAACGGAGTTTTGTGTTGCGTGTATTCCAATGTGTTTGCCATGTGTTAATCATCGTTTGTCGAGCTGCTGATTTTAAGTCTTGATGAAGTTGGATTTGCTCTACTGGCAAGTCGGAGGAGTAAGTTTGTTTCGCTGCTTGGTCTGCACGTTAGTTGCCATGAGAAGGGATCCAGATGATATTCACAGCGATACCTCTAGTACGTTGGTGGTGGCAGGTGTCGAGGATATCTTGAACTAAAGGATGTTGTGAGTAGTTGTTTTTGATGGAGTATATTGATGAAAGGGAGTCTGTACATATGACAAGTTTACTGTTATCCTGTACTGGAGTCCTCAAAGCTTGTAGTATTCCATATAGTTCAGCTGTGTGTATACTACATAAGTCAGGTAGTTTGTATGTTACTATTGTTGTGCCTACTGTAGTAACAGCGCATCCAGTACCATCAACTTCTTTGGAGGCGTCAGTGTATAGGATTTTGTCGAACGGCTGGTGATTTATCAGATCTTTGAATTTTTGTCTGAAGACTATGTTAGGCGTTTCGCACTTGTAGATGCTTAGGATTGTGTTCAATAGTGTAGGTTTTTTGGTCCATGGAGGAGTTTTAGAAAGTTTTATGGGAGTTGTAACTTTAAGGTTAGTGTCTCTTATAATAGAGTGTAACATTTGTGGAGATGAGAGCGATGTTCTGGGTCTGTTTACAGGAGCTGGTTGTATAGAGTCAATTAATTTAAATACTGGGTTTTGTGGGTAGGCAGATATCCTGGAAAAATAGGATAATAGTTGGCATTCTCGTCGTATGGAAAGAGGTGGTTTCAATGTAGATGCTTTCAGTTGGACTGGATCTAAAAGCGCCTAGACATATTCGTAATGCTGTGGTTTGGATAGTGTCGAGAGATTTAAGATACGTTTTGGAGGCGCTTATATAAAGGATACTTCCATAATCTAGTTTGGAGCGGACCAATGATTTGTAAATCCTTGTTAATATTTCCTCTTCTGTTCCCCATTGGGAGCTAATGATTTTAAGATGTTAATCCTAATTAAACAATTGGCTTTAGTTTCCTGTATATGTTGCCTCCACGTGAACTTTTTGTCAAAAATTACTCCTAGGAATTTATGTTGATCAACCACATGTAGCGGATCTCCGTTGAAACTTAATTGTGGAAAAAGAGGATTGAGTCTTTTACTGAACTGGATTACTCTGGATTTGGTTGTTGAAAAGTGAAAACCTGATTTTAGAGGCCAATTGTGGATGCTATCTAGAGCCTTCTGAAGTAAAATACAAGTACTAGCCGTGACTTGCCTTGGCAGTAGAGAATAAGATCGTCGGCATATAGCACATATTTGACAGGTTGAATTATTGAGGAACATATATCATTAATACTCATCAAGAATAAAGTGGTTCTAATAACCGAGCCTTGTGGTACTCCATTCTCTGGCGCGTGCAATGTAGACGTTTGCTCATTTGTTACGACTTTAAAAGATCTGTTGGTCAAGAAGTTTTGTAAAAAGGAGAGAAAGTTTCCAGATAAGTTAGTCTGTGAGTTTCTTGAATATGGAAGTTTTACAAATTGTGTCGAAGGCGCTGTTAATATCTAGACTCACGGCGATTATGTCTTTTTTGCTTTCAAAAGCTTGTGAGATATCTGTGTGAAGAGTAACCAGGTTATCCAATGTGCATCTTTAACCGCTTGACTTATCTAAATTTTGTATTTTTAAAAAAATTGCTTCACGTACCTTCTTATTCTTGAAAGTTAGTAAAGTTAGTAACGTAGTTAATAAACTAAATGATTTTTGTTAACTTTAAAATTCCTAAAAACTACAGAGTCTTCAACCATACGCTTATCCCACGTGACGAAACTGATGTCACAATTTAAAATTAATGACTTTTTTTTTTTTTTTAACACTATTATACAAAAAACTTTACAGTATTGTACACTAAAATTAACTTACATCTACTAAGAGAATATCACAGAATAAAACGCCTTAAAAGGCGAAAATTTTTTTTGAGAATTTTCTTATTGTGCCTAATGAAATTTTTAACATTCTGTCTCTTCTTAACATATTAATAAATTCTGTTAAATCTTTAAAGCCTTCTAAGTTATTATATAATAGAGCGCTATAAAACCATATCCAAACATTTGTATCTAAACTATTAGAATATTCAATTTGAAAAATATCTTTAGGGTCTCCATTTTGATTACATTGCAAAAACTTGTTTAAAATACGCTGTTTACACCAATCCCAAATGTTTTTAGACAAAATGCAGTCTTTAATACGGTATGACATGTCGTCAAAAACATTGCATTCGCTACATATGTTAGAATCGGTAATACCGTGGCGGTCCGTTTTTGATCTTACTGCGTATATGTCATTTATCGCTTTGTATACTACAGAACGCCACTTGGAAGGAATGTCATTGTTACTAATGACCTTCCAGACTGTTTTCCATTTTATCTTGGGAAATTTTTTTTCAATTGATGGAGTTATTGTAATGTTATCTATTGCGTCTTTGTAAATTTGGTTCGTATTGACTGTATTATTTTGAATCCAATTGAACTTTTGAATGAATTCATAGTACTTTTTTAGAAATTTGGGTATTTGTGAGCTCAAATTTTTATCGAATAAGTTATTTAAAGTCGATTTATAAGTAATTTTATTTTTACAGTTTGTCCAAGAGAGTTGTTGGGTCTTTGCAAAAAGTGATTTAGCCTTAATTTCAAAATTAATTAAATTTAAACCTCCGTTTTTAAAAGGTAAATATAATTGGTCCCTTGCCACCCGGTATAAATGACCCCTCCATATATAGTTTCCTGTATACATTACGATTTTTTGAGCATGTAAATGGGTAACTGGTAACAATAATTGTGCAATATACCACGATTTTGAAAGGACATATATATATTTATGAATTGAATTTTTTTAATTAAATCGAAGTTACGTGTGTACCTTAACTGCAGACAAGTGTTTATGTTCTTTATAATTTGTTCCCAGTTGGTTTTAATCATTGTATTAAAGTTTGAAGCCACCCACATGCCCAAAATTTTTGTTTCTGTCTTAACTGGAAATTTTCCTAATTTTTGTGGGAAGGATTTTGCTAATTTTCCTAATGGAACAATAAATGATTTCTGCTGCGTTAGAGGCTCCACGATAGATTTTAAGCAGTTTATCTACAATGTCGATATCTTTTTGTTTTTCAAAGTATATAGTTATGTCATCTGCATAGGCAGATATTTTAATTGTGCGGTTCGAAATTTTTAACCCTGGTAATGAAAAGTCACATAAAAATGGTTCCATAGAGATGCTGAAAAGAATCATGGATAGTGGGCATCCTTGTCGTACCGAGCTACGAATATCGATTTTTTTTTTGACAAAAAACCGTTTATCATAAGAGACGAATTTGCTACACTATATACAGGGTGGCTCACGCTCAACGGGACGGAGCTTTATGGGAAAACGACCAAAGATATAA